AGCAGGCTTCCCGCTGAGTAGGGAGCCCGATGCGGGGCTCGATCCCAGGACACTGGGGTCATGACCTGAGCCGAAGGCAGACGCTTAACCAACTAAGTCACCCAGGTGCCCCTGGTTTCTCTTTTCTTCTGGCTGAAGTACATCCTTTAGTAATTCTTTCAGGGAGAGTCTGTGAGTGGTACACTCCCTTCATTTTTTTGTCTGAAAACAGTTTTGTCTTTGCCAATAGCTTCTCTGGGTATAGAATTTTAGGTTAAAGGATTCTTTCTTTCCTTCGTTCCTTTCTTTCTTTCCTCCAACATTTTAAAGATACTGTCCTGTTGTCCTGTGGCTGATAAGAAGTCAGATCTCAGCCCAGTTGTCACTACTTCATAGATGAGTGACTTTATCCTTAGGAAGCTTTAAAATGTTCTCTTTCCCTTTGATGTTCTAATGCTTCACTTTGATGTGTCCCTTAGTATTGCTTTGTTTTATAATCATGTTCAGCACCCCAGTGCGTGCTTTCTTCTGTTCTGAAATATTCTCAGCCATTATTTCTTCGGATTATCTCTTCTCCACTGGCTTCTCTCCTCTTTCTTCTGAGACTCTAAGACAAATGCTGGGACCTATCAGTCTATTATCCACAAATCTTCCTTCTTTTTCATGTATTTCATCACTCCATCTGTGCTGTGCTCTGGATGAATTCTTTGAGACTATCTTCCAATGCACAGATTCACACTTTGATTCTGAACAGACAATATTAGACTAGATTTTATCCCATGTATTGAGATTTTTAACTTCAACTGTTTTATTTCCAATAATTCCAATTGTTTTCATTTTGTACCCAGGTATATCCATTCTTGATTCATTTCCACTCATTCACTGTATCATAATTTATTATCACTTTTATAGATGCTATTATTTTCTTCAGATATTAAATATATTTAAGTCATTTTGAAAGTATACCATTATTTGCATCTCATCAGCAATAAAACCAGCTCTCATTTGTTGATGTTTTCAGCTTTTTTTTTTTTTAAGATTTTTTATTTATTCATTTGAGAGAGAGAGCATGTGAGAGCATGAGCAGGGGAAGGGAGAAGCAGGCTCCCTGCTGATCAGGGTGTCTGATGTGGGGCTTTATCCCAGGACCCCGGGATCATGACCTGAACTGAAGGCACACTTAACCAACTGAGCCACCCAGGCGTCCCTCAGCTGTCTTTCTTAATGTCAATTTTCCCTGGGTGTTTTGGAACTTTCCATCCATTTTTCTCTATCCTCAGTGCAAGGCACCCTGGTCCAGTTCCCATCAGAACTGGTTGCATACACTTTATGCAACCTTGTGGCCTGTCTAATCACATGATAATAGCTGACCCATCACAGCAGCCTGTCACTCATCTTCCTGCTTCTGGCCTTGCCTTCCATCCATTACATTCTCCTTACTCTAGCCAGTGATCATTCTACAGTATAAATCACATCATGATATTCCCCTTTCAGGAGCTCTCCTCTGGCTCATAGAAGAAAATCTAAGTTCCTAAACACAGTCCATACATGATTTAACTTTTCCTTACCTCTCCAGCATGATCTCTCAACCTTACTTACACTCACACATATACACATGCAGACACACATTCCACATTCAAGCTCTTATAAACTTCTTTCAGTTCTCTCATACCATCTATCTTTGGATCACCGTCACTAGACTAAAATAATCCATGTCCGGGCGCCTGGGTGGCTCAGTCATTAGGCTGCTTCTCCCTCTCCCACTCCCCCTGCTTGTGTTCCCTCTCTCGCTCTCTGTCAAATAAATAAATTAAATCTTCTAAAAAATTAAAATAAAATAAAATAATTCATGTCCATAAGAAGAAAATAAGTGAGAGAACAGGAATAAGAATACCTAATATGTACTGAATGTTTTCTGTAGCCAAGTAACAAGAGATGAGCTTATTCCTTACATTAGCCCCATCCCTGGACAAAGTCTGGTACATATCAAGCCCTGACTGAACAAGGCTTTATCTTTTATGGATAGATAATAGCCCTTTTTGTCACACTGATTGCTTTTTTTTGCCTCAAATTCTACTTTTTCATATTAATATGCCAACTGTGCTACCTTTTTGTATTTGATTGCTATAACTTTTTCTCAACACTTTTTTTTTTAAATATACTGAGTTACTTTCTTTAATAAAATACATATACATTGATTGATTAGTGGGGGGTGGAGGGATGACTCAAACTGAGAATCTTTGCTATTTAATAGTATAATATCATTCATTTATATTTATTATACATCACATGTACTCAGACTTACTTCTATTTTATGTTTATTTTCTATCTTTTTCTATACATTAATGTTTTCTTTATCTTCCTTTATTTTGGAATGTTTTCATTCTACCAGTGATTTTATATACATGGAATACATTTTCATCAAAATATGTCCAGCTTTTTAGTTTCCCTTCACTGATTTTGTCTGATACTGAGTGAGTCATTTTGATCTGCAGAGTAAATCTTCAATCAGCTTAAGAACATCAATTACCCACATGTTTAATTCCTGCTCACTATCCTCCATATTCATTATAATTTTGCCCATCATTTTAGAGTTGTGTTTTCCTCTGAATTATGTGAAAGCCTCTTAAGCTTGCTCTCAATATTACTAACTGGGTTTTCCACCAAGTAGACTCTGCTCTTTACTGCTTCTAAAACCATTTAAAATTCTTTTTGGCCATTTTTAGTTTTCTTATGTTCTTTCCTTAATTTAACCAGCAACTTTTTCATCTCATTCTGCTGTCCTATTTTATCTTTTGTCTTTTCTTTCATACAGTTTATTTTTTCTGGAAGTTTGCTGAAAATACAAATTTAATAGATAAATAAATTTTACTTGGCTTTCTGTAGTAAATCCTTCTTAAAATTTGGTCATTTCCCTACCTTCTAAATGCTAGGTCATGCTTTTTTAGATGCAGAATCTTTTCTTTCCCTGACCTGTGAGGGTTTTTTTTTCCTACTTCTTCTTTATATCCAGACTTGAAAAAGAAGAAATCTGCTCAGGCTTGTTATTCATGTCCAGTAGTGGATAGACTCCTCTTGGCTACTCTCACAGCATACACAGAGAGAGCATAAACTGGAGAGCTGGTTATCTTAAGACATCAATTAAATAATCCAGAAGCCTACAGGGAACAAGGAAGATGCTGGGACAAGAGTCGCTGCCTGCAAGGGAGTTTCACCTCTGTATAATTTCTTCTTTGTGTCTGGTAAAGCTTCTAAAGCTGTGGGACCAATTTTCTCATGTCTGGTTTTCAATTTGGCCTGGCCATCACCCCAAGTACATGATGTGATTGTCCAACTTCCTAGCTGGTGTATGGCTTCTTCCTGCCACCCTACTCACTGGTTTTCTATTTCGGAGAGCCACATTTGAGCTTGCCCTTGGGCTCTTCAGGATTGATTTCAAATGCTGTTGACCCAAAACAACAAAAGTGGTTCCATGTGGAAAGACTCCTGACTATTCCAGGGCTCACACTCACCTCTAAAGAGTACAAGACCCTCCCAGAATCTCCAATTTCATATATCCCCATGTTACATTGCTGTCTAAGGAAGGTGAGCTGGATTTCAACTCTCAATATCATCTACGTTATAGTCCTAACTGCCCCGTAAATTATTTCTTAAAATATTCAAAGTGTGTGTTGTGTTCTTGACATCTTTCTCTAGTTTTCAGTTCTGAAGCAGTATTTCAGATAGGATATAATATTGGAAAAAAGGAGTTAGATCCTTGTGTTCAATTATCATCTTACTCAGAAATCCTACCCAATCTAAGTCTGATTTTTACTAAAAAAGGAAATAATTTTCTTTACAGAGATTCACCTAGCTCGAAATCCTATTTGGAGTTGGGGATCCACATATCACTCCCTCAAAAAATTTGCTCTAACAATTTAGTTAACTTCTCCTTGCCTTGCAAATATGATTTCTAGCCAAGTGAACTTCAGTAAAGAAAACTGCTTCCTTTCTTAATAAAAAACCAAGATTGGATGGGTGCTGACAACTTCCTTGTACCACACACACACACACCCCTCTCCACAGCACAGCTATGTGCCCCTGCTCCCTCCCATACCTATCTCAAAATTTGGGCAGAAAAAAATGTTATTGCTTTTTTTCCAAATACCATCAAGGACTTCCAATTAGATTCAACAACTATATACTGAGAGCTTGACAGGTTCATAGCACTCTGCTAAGCACTAACACTTGGCCTTCCAGGCTTTTCCACCAGCCCACCAGGGACAGAGATATATGAGACACAGACTCTGTGCTCCCACAGAATCCTGTGCATATCACTAAAATAATACTTGTGAAAAAAATAAATAAATAAATAAATAAATAAAATAATACCTGTGACACATACTAAAATCCTCTGTTTTTTTCCTCCCACTAGACCAGAAGCCTTTAGAAAACAGACCACCACTCAGTCATCATTGCATCCCCAGCACCTATTACACTTCCTGGTACAAAGGAGGTTTTACAAAACATGTTAGTCAAAAAAAACAGAAACCAGTTCTAGCTCCTGCCCTTGAGGAGAGAGAGCTAGCCTGGCTTAGCTGTAAATTAGTGCTCCCATTGTGAACACCTTTCCATCTCGGGGAACCCAGCACACACACAGATGCTTTGGGATCTATCTTCCCGACGGGATGCACACCACAGGCAGCGTTCTGGCAAACGCTCTCCCAGGACGATGTGGAGTTGTAGCTCAGCAGAATGAGCCAGCTCTAGTTTTCCTTCCAAACTCCTTCTGAGCCATACCCCCACAAGACAGAAAGGCAGGTGGGGGTATGGCCTAGGTGACCTTGAGACTAGGATACCACTCTGACTCCCACAATCCCCCGGCTGACATAAACACCTGGTCTCTTGGCCTGGCGACCAGAACACAGCCCCAGGATTCCGGCTGGTCTGTTCCCCCCAGCACACCCAGACCAGACTGGTCAGACTGGTATTTCTGGGTCCCTGCCACTAGAGGTGTGGCCTCCAACAGTGCAGAGCCCCACCTGAGAATGATCCGAAGATACTCCATGCCCTCTGCCTCCTCACACTTGATGGACAGGAGCAAGTTCCCCAAACTGCTGCCAGTACAGTAAAAGTTTAGGTGATCCTAGAAACAGAAATCAGGTATTAACAGGGAGGAGGGGACCTTCCAGACATGGCCCCCCAAATCACCTCCTTCACCAGGAGCAAGAAGCCCCGTAGCAAGGAGGAGGAAAGACAAGGATGCTACTGCTGTGGTTGCTGCTGCTGAGGAGGGAGGAAGGAGGATGAAGGGGAAGGAGCAAGGTCACAGGAATAGATTCCAATGGCCCAGGCGTTGGGATGTGCCAGGCAATGGACTAAGGACTTAACACACACTGACTCCTTTAATCCTGACCACAACTTTATGGGGGAGATGATATCATCATCCCCATTTCACAGATAGATAAACCAGTGTCCAGGGAGATTACAAAACTGCCGAGGGTCACACAACCAGTAAGTGACCGATCCAGCATTCAAGCCCACCTTGAACGCTGATGCTCAAGTTCTTCTCCAAGGACCCCACACATCCACTTCCTTGCTCCCTGGGAGCAGCCCTGGCTGATTCAGACCATTTGCAGGAATAAAGCTGGGAGGCACCCTGGCTCCTCCACGCATGGGGAGCTAGGAGGTCTTCTGGAGAGCGGGCCTCCCTCAGGCTCAGGGAGCCCACTCCAGACCTGCCATATCAGCGTGGGGCCCTGGAATCTGCATTTGAACAATGCAGCTGAGACTATGCAAAACTGCCTTGGGCTGGAGACTTCTGGAACCTGCCCTCGGGACTTCCAAACCAGGCAAGTCTGAAGAGCAGAATATATTTAAAGAAATGTGACTTTGCCACTTATAAACAATCAGAGGCTCATCTCATCTGGTACAAGTGCCCTGGGGACCTGCTGGAGTGAGGACAGGAGAGATTTGACTACTTAGATGGAGACAAAGACTTCCAAGGCGTGAGAACACATTTTCTCCTTCACCCTTCTTCACCCCCCAACACTACCCATCCCATCACCTCCGAGAACATCTGCTGGGAGTGGTGCCCCCAAGGACCCACCACACTGAGCCTTCCTGACTTCTGCACACCCTGTCCCCCCGCCCAGGAGCAGAGCTAGTTGTACTTCCCCAGCCAGGACAGCAGGACGGAGGCAGGCCCAGGAAGGAGGAGAGACGGAGACAGGGATGCTGGAGGAGGCCGGGCCAGGTGCATTTCCCTGCCCGGCCCGCAGCTGCTTTCATGCAGGGCCCTCAGCCTCACCTTCCCCAGGAAATGCCTGCGGTAGGCCCTGGCTTCACCCCTGCACTCAAGCTTATAGCCAAACGTGCTAGGGCTGACACTGTCCTCTTCCTCCTCCTCACAGATGCTGCTGCCAAGGGAGGTCGGCGTCCCCACGTTCTCTGGGTCCTCGATCCAATAGCCCCCAAACTGGGGCAGGACAATCAGGGGGTACGGGCCTCCCTTTTCCACAACCTGGAGGCAGAGAGAAGGTCTTGCACTTCGGCCAGCCCTGGCTCTACAGGGGGAGGGCAGGGGAGGGGTGCCAGTGGTGGTATCCCCCGCCTCTGAACTGCTCCAAGGTGGAGACCCCTGTAGTTGAGGCCAAATACGGTAACACAAACCCCAAATTTAAGCCCAACAACATCTCCCAGCTTTACTGACCCTGGAGCACCAGAGTTGCAAGGCTTCAATCAGCACCCCGTCTGGAAACGGCAAAACTGAGGCCACAAAGGTAAAATCCCAGGCCTGAGGCTCTCGCTCACGTGGGGTGGGGCAAGGGCCCTCAGCACCACCAGCTGCCCCAGCCCACCCCAGAGATGAGACCCAGGGCAGGCTACGGTGAGGCTAGGGGGCTCCTACCTCATCAATGCTGGGGTACGGGATATAGTCATCCTGCAAGACAAACCAGATAAGGCTGCCGTTAGACCCAGCAGTGCCCGTGAAGTTTGAGGGTTGTTTTTCCATTCTCCCAGGTCGGGGGGTGGGAGTGCCTGGCAGGCTGTGCTCGAGCTTTGAGAGAGCAGCAAAGAGAACACCAGATGAAGAACAGCAGAGAGGCAGCTGGGATCTGGCTTCCCTTGAGTGCTTCCCCAAACTGACAGAACCTGAACGCAGTACACAAAGGCTCTGAATTTCACGCCTTGCATGACGTCAGCTCACCCCATAGGAAGCTTTAACAGGAAGATGACCCCTGATCCCACCCAGCCCTGCCTTCAGGCAAAAGAGCTGACCTCCAAGTGATGAGCCGCACCCCTCGGCCTTGGGAAAAGAAACTGAAGCTGAGAGCTGAGGATCACTGGACCCAAAGCCTGATACCCCAAAATGCCATGTGCGGTTTGTTTGCAGAAGCAGGTACAGAAGAGCTAGGCTGAGCCACAGGCCTTAGGTCTCACCCGAGGCTTCCACCCCAGCCTTCCACGCCAAGGCTGCTCCCTAAAGGCATCAAGTCAGGGCCTTGCTACTGCCCACTGTGCACCAGTGAACATGGGCACAACTTAAGGAGCTCTTGGCGAAAGGCAGATGGAAGACCACAGACCCCAGCACGCCGGCCGTCCCCATGCCGGGCCCACCGGGCTGCCACCTCATCCACACAGCCCACCTTGTTCTTCTGGGGGCCCGGCTTCTGCTCTTCAAGCTTGATCCCCTGTGGAAACAAGGAAAAGAGGATCCATGAAAGAGAAAAGGTCATAAAATAGGGGCCAAATGGAGGGTTCCCTTGGGATTCTCCAACACCTGCCTTGTTAGGGTTGGTAATAGCAGCAATAGCGGATGTGTGCCGGGTCCTTACACATCACACACCTTGTCACACTCAGTCCTCATGGCAGCTCCAAGTAAGGCAGGAGGACAGGCAGGGAAGAGCATAGACTCGAGCCAGAGCACCAGGGTTCAAATCCCAATACTGCCACTTACGACCTTGGGCAAGTCCCAAACCTTTGTGGCTCAGTCTTCCCATCTGCAAAACGGGGACGGTGACAGCAGCTACTATTGTGGTAAAGGTTAAATGTGCAGGATGTGCTAAGCCCTAGAAAGGGACTAGTTTTGCTATAGGTCACTATTACCAATATTACCAGGCAGTGTTGTCATCCTGGCACGGAAATCTCTTTGCCAGGCCCTCAGAACCAGCAGGTATGGGGCAAGGGTGGGGACCCACATCTGAATGGTGTCAAAGCCAGCACTCTGGACTGTTGCCACCATAGCTTCTCTCCCTCCTCAGGGTGCAGACCCACAGGTGACAGGCAGGGGGCCTGGGGCTCATTTGCTTCTGGGAAGCTGTGCCTTGTCCAGTGGTCCTATGGTCAAGATCGGACTTAATTGTTTTTTTTTCAAGAGGGGAGCACACGCTCTGGTAAGCGCCATGAATTGTGCAAGACTGTTGAATCTCAGATCTGTACCTCTGAAACAAATAATGCAATATATGTTAAGAAAAAAAAAAAGAAGAAGAAGGTAGCGGGAGGGGAAGAATGAAGCGGGGGAAATCGGAGGGGTAGACAAACCATGAGAGACGATGGACTCTGAAAAACAAACAGGGTTCTAGAGGGGAGGGGGGTGGGAGGATGGGTTAGCCTGGTGGTGGGTATTGAGGAGGGCACATTCTGCATGGAGCACTGGGTGTTATGCACAAACAATGAATCATGGAACACTTCATCTAAAACTAATGATGTATGGGGATTAACATAAGAATAAAATAAATAAATAAATAAATAAATGAGGGGAGCACACGACTGAATAAATTAGACTGCTTGAATAAATTAATAAGGGTATGAAATGGTGGGACAACTAGGAGAGAAGACCATCCTAATCATAACATGGGGATTTTAAGCTTCCTCAGCACCTTGCCACCGTTGTCTCCTATGAAGCCCCCAGCACCTTTATACCAAGGGGAAACTGAGGTACAAGGAGCAGGCTGCTTCTGATGTTGCACAGCTAGCGAGTAGCAGGGCCTGGATTTGAAGCTGGGCTGTCCAAGTGCACGATCATATCCCACAGGCGCTTGAGCCCAGGGCTCCTGCTCAGTCGGATTTAGACTTCGGCTTCTCTGGACTTCGCGGGGTTGAGTCACCCTGCAGCATTGCTCAGGAGGGCGTGGGAGGACCCCTCCCACTGGACAGGTACTCCTCTCCCCACACAGGGAGAAAACCACCTGGGTGGCCTGGCAGACCCTGTCCAGGGAAGCAAACTGGGCAGATGGGGAGGGGGGTGATGTCAGGAGTTTGTTTTGTTTGTCCTGCATGAGTCACCCCTACCTGGGAACAGCACCTGGGCAGGAGAGCAAACCTCTTCCCTCCCCCTTCCCTCTCTGACAGAGCCACCACCCAGCTCTGTGTCTGCCTTTGCAATAGGCATTATCATTATCTCCCCTTTTCCCTACCATGAAGAAATAGAGGATCAGAGAGGTAGAGAGACTTGACCAAGGACACTCAGCTAGACAGTGTCAGGGTTAAGACTTTGAACCCAGGACCAAACGGACCCAAATCTTGTATACTTAGTCTATATCATAGGGATTGTGCCCTTCTTCCAATTCCTCCACTCTCGGGGGAGGGGGAAGCCCCGGATCTGAGTTTCAGCTCCCCACGACTCACAGAGTACCCTGGGCACTTGACGGCTCTGAGACCCAGTCTCCACAGCCACAGCCTGAGAAGAGGTGGCACCCACACACAAGGACAGGATCTGGCCACACCACACCACCTGCTTCACTCCCAGTATTTCCCCGTATGTGAGTTGTGTACATACAGAGGAGCTGGAAACTGTGGGCCTCTCAGAGGCTGGGGTCCAGCGGGGCACAAGGCAGGGACCTAAACCCCGGGAAGTTTGATTTCAGTCCCTGGCAGTCTCAACGGACATGGAATAGGCAGACCCTTGGATGTCTGCTGCCACGAACATACAGAGGGAGCATAGGAACCAGACTCCCGCCCTCAAGAGGGTCCCAATCTGGTTGAAAAGTCAAGCCCAGCAATCTAGTAACAGAAACAATGGAGGCCAGTCAAGTGAGGCTGAATTATGTGCTCAGAGAGCGCTCTGTGGGGGAGGCAGGGGTCTCCCGCAGGGGGCGAGGGACCGGTGGGTTGTGGGAACAAATGAAGGGAAGGCAGGGTGAGCCACAAATCCCCTGCCAGCTTCCCCATGGGCTCGGGGTGAGAATCCCCGCTTTACTCCAGGCAGCTGAGCTCGTAATTACACACTACCTCCCGCCACTCGCTGTCAAAGCGTGTGCCAATCCTCTTTCCACAGCTTGACTGAGGTCCCTAAATGTATACAGAATTAGTCTGCGGTCCACACAGAAGGGGACAATGATGATAATAGAGCTGCTTCCTGTGGGCTTTACCAGGAAGAAAGGAACTAACACTCGTCAATGTCTGAGCTGAGAAAAGTGCTTAAAATACATGAGCTAGGGGCGCCTGGGTGGCTCAGTCTGTTAAGCGTCCAACTCTTGATTTTGGCTCAGGTCATGATCTCAGGGTCGTGGGATTGAGCACCGCATTGGGCTCCTTGCTTAGCGCAGAGTCCGCTTGGGATATTCTCTCTCCCCCTCCCTCTGCCCCTCCCTCTACTTCTACTCATGCTCTCTAAATAAATAAAACCTTTACAAAAAAATACATGTGTTATTATCAACATCTTCTTCCCATCCTTCCCACCTGTATCAGTTAAAACTTCTGGACAACCCCCCCCCCCGTTATTCCCCAGGGCAGCAGTTCTTACCTGTGAGCCCTGGCCCCTCGGTGAGGGGTGATTAGAAAGGCCCCCAAATCCATTCCGAACACTGATTTTTCTGCAGTGTCTAGCAAGTATTTACATATACTATCTCATTTCATCCCAACAACTGTGTATGCGGGTATTTTAATTATTATTTATAAGGGCTGTGGCATGATTTGTAATAATAAATATTTTGGTCTTCACCCCATTCCTGGCACAGAACTCCAAAAACCTGTTGAATTTCCTAAGTGATGAGAGCAATGGGAACATTTGGGAGCATCTTTTGTTACAATACTCCGTCTTCTGTCCTTAGTTCTGAAACAGCTCCAGAGCTATAAAGGTGAAAGCCCTAACGTTATTCATATGTTTGTGAATGAGGTGTCTTTGGGGACACCCCTAAGGACGGAGCTGGGTGCCAGGGGAACCATTAGAGGGTTGGAACATTCAGTCCCAGCTCTCCAACCTCCCGGGAGGGGAGAGGGGCTGCGGGGTGAATCAATCCTGCCGACGCAGTGAAGCCTCCATAAAAAAACAAACAATGGGCTCAGGGAGCTTCCAGTTGGTGAGCACATGGCAGTACAGGGAGAGTGATACATCCAGAGGAGGCCAGCCCCACAGCACCTGGCCCCCTACAACTCTTCCATCTGGCTGTTCCTGAATTATATCCCTTTATAATAAACTGATAATCCAGGAAGTAAGTGATTCTGGGCTCTGTGAGCCATGCTAGCAAATTAATCGAACCTGAGCAGGGGGCCAAGGGAACCTCAAATCTACGGCCTGCTGGTGATGATGGCATCTGAAGTGGGGGAGAGGCGGTCTTGTGAGGCAGAGCCCTTGCCCTGTGGGATCAGACATGCTCTCTGGGCAGACAGGGTCAGAGTGGAGTTGACTGTAGGACACCCAGCTGGTGTCACAGAATTGCTTGGTGGGGGAGAAACCACCACACATTTGGTGTCGGAGGAAGGTGAAAATGGTACTGTGAATAGACAAAAAACAGGAGCCAGAGGCTCAGAAAAGGGAAAGAACTTGTGCTAATGAGCGTCAGGTGTGGCTTTGACCCCCAGTGGGTCTCTCCCCCTCAGCTCTGCCTCCCACACACAAGATGACCTCCACTACGAAAGGGCTTCCTTTTTCAGACTTTCTTTCCCACCCATTCCAGGAACAATGGACCCTTTCAAGCCCTCCCCACATCTGTGGGGTTATGGTATCCCCATCTGCTCTGCTGGAGGACTTCTGCTTTCTATCTACTCCCCTTCTTCAGGCAGGAGCCTTCCCAGAATCCTCGGTGCCACTCACCACAAAAACGACCCGAGGTAGTCCCAGCCAGCAGACTGGGAGTTCTCTCTTCTCTGCCCCTCCCTCCAAGGCTCCCAAGTTCTGCCTGGTGGTGTTGCCCCCACGGTCACTGCAGCATGCCCCCCACCCAGGGCTCAGCCTCCCCACCGAAGTCGTTCGGGGATGCTCACCTGCATTTTCTCCAGCATCTCGAAGAACTCCGCCGACTGAAAGACACAAAGAGGACGCGTCAGCCAGGAGGTCTGCTGAGAAAGTCTCCTCACCAACTGTCTGTAAGCCTAGTCCAGTGCTTCCCCAGAGACAAGAGTCATTTGGATCAAGAGAGAAGGTCATTTGATTTTGCCTTTGCAGGGCTGGAGGGCCAGAACACCCCCTACAACAAAAGAAAAAATGACACGCGTCCAGGCTGGCAAATGTCCCTGGGGAGAGCAGGCACTCAGTCTCCATCAAGAGAGAGGAGCCTGTGAGGCCCTGGGGAAAAGCCAAGTTCCCTAAGACACCTGTCAGCCCCGGGATTCAGCCTGCAGGAGGAGTCCTGTTTGGGATGTTCTCAGCCCAACGGTGGGGCCAAGGTACCCAACACAAGTAGTCTTCCGCCTTTTGTGGCAACACGGCCCTTGGGTCTGCCATCTCACTTAGAACTCCAACATATAAAGCCAGTGAAAGCACAGCCCCCCTGGGGGCTTGAACTCCTAACATGCCTGCCCCGGCCCCTTGCCCCCAAAATCTCTTTGGGGCCCTAAGAGCTTGTGAGCAAAGCCTGGAAACCATTGAACTGGAGTCTCCAGGGACCTGGAGAGATGATTCTAAAAATCTCGAACTATGTAAGTCCAAACGTTTAACCTGCTCTGGTGCCCCCCTTGTAAATTCCAGGTAAAGGCAAAAAGCAGAAAAAGGAAGTGGAACAGAGGGGTGAGGGGCTAGAGGCTCTACCCTAACAAACACGCACAGAGACCTCTCAGCACTTTCCCCATGTCCCCGTCCATAAAAATAGGCTACACTTTCTTGTCCTCACGTCACTGCCCACATCTGGGCCCTGGCAAGCCATGGGTTAATGAGCACCCAGCACACAGTCCCCGGATGAATAGGAAAGAAAGAAAGCTGTGATGATGAAAAACAAGGAGGTCCTTGTCACTTCTTCCTGCGTAGCAAAAGCATGCCTCCCTCCCTCTGCAGGCAGCAATGGGCCAGAGTTACCTGGAGCCCCCTGCCCACAGAGTTCCCAGAGAGAACCACCATGGGAAGGACCTTTGTGGAGTCACGGGGCTTAAAATGAGCTCCCCCCAGGCCACAGCTGGCCCGTCAGAGGTAACAGTCTCCGATCCCCAGCGGTTCAGGTTCCAGGGTCTGGAAACCCCCCGTGTGAACATACAGCATGGAGGACGAGCTTCAGGCACCCACATCGAGCACCCTTGCCCAGAAGCAGCCGTGAAACACACAGCTCCCGAACCTATCCTTCCCACTGGCTCTGTGCACTCTTACCAACTCCATTCTCCAGGAGACCAAGATTCCTAGACGGAAAGAATTTACACAAATCAATAAGGCTAGAAAGATGAGCAGGAAGAGGACAAAAGGGCAGAAACAATCAACAATTACACATGCAGACGTCTGACCCGGTGATTCCTCTTTTAGGGATCTGTGCTATAAACACGCTTCCGGGTGAGCACAAGGATGGATGTTCCCTGCAGCACTGTTTGGTTACAATGAGCTACGTTCCAATAGTATGAACAACTGGGTGCCAATAAATTAAAGAGCTTGGATGAAATGGACAATTTCTAGCAATACACAAACTACCAAAACGGACTCTAAGAAATGGAAAATCTAAAAAGATCTATAATAAATAAAAAAACTGAATTAGTAATCAAGAAGCTACACAAGGAAAAGCCCAGGTCCAGATGGCTTCAGCTGTGAATTCTGCCATTAAAGAAGAATTAATACTAATTCTTCAGAAACTCTTAATATAGGAGAGGGGACACTTCTCAACTTATTCTACGAGGCTAGTATTACCCCAACAACAAAACCAAAGACATCACAAGACAATTACAGACCAATATAGCTTATGAATATAGATACAAAAATTCTCAAAAAGACTAGCAAGCCAAATCCAACAACGTAAAAAAAAAAAAAAGAATTATACATCATGACCTGGTGGGATTACAGTAAAGTTGGTTTATCCAAAAATCAATGCCTATAATACACCAGAGGAACAGAATAAAAACAAAAACCATATTATCAATTCAACAGTCATAAAGAAAGCATTTGACAAAATTCCAAACACTTTCTTGATTAAAAATTAGAAAAAAAAATAATAAACTAGATAGAAGGGAAGTTCCTCAACATGATAAAGGGCAGTTACAAAAAAACAACAGGTAATAATATTCTTATTAATGGAAAACCAGATACTTTGTCCATAAAATAAGGAATAAAACTAACCACCGTCATCATTTCTATTTATCACTGTGCTGGATGTTCTAGCCAGAACAGTTAGGCAAAAGAAAAAGAAAAAGAAAAACTATATAATCGACATCCAAACTGGAAAGTAAGAAGTGAAACTATCTCTATTCACAGATGACATGATCTTGTATATAGAAAATACTAAGGGGGTGCCTGGCTGGCTCAGTGACACTTGATTTGGCTCAGGTCGTGATCTCAGGGTCAGGAGATCAAGCTCTACATGGGGCTCCACACTCAGCGCAGAGTCTGTTTGAGATTCTCCACCCCCACCTCTGCCCCTCCCCCCACTGGCGCTCTCTAAATTATTATTTTTTTTAAAGATTTTATTTATTTTTTTAAAGATTTATTTTTTTTATTTATTTATTTATTTATTTATTTATTTATTTATTTATTTATTTATGAGACACAGCGAGAGAGGGAACACAAGCTGGGAGAGTGGGAGAGGGAGAAGCAGGCTTCCCGCAGAGCAGGGAGCCCAATGCGGGGCTCGATCCCAGGACCCTGAGATCATGACCTGAGCCAAAGGCAGACGCTTAACGACTGAGCCACCCAGGCGCCCCTAAATTATTTATTTTTTTAAAAAAGAAAATACTAAGGAATTCACTAAAAAAACTATTAAAACTAATATAATAAATGGGTTCAGTAAGGAGGCAAGACACAAGATCAATATACAAAAATAAATTGTATTGCTATATATTATCTATGGACAATTAAAATAAAATTAAGAAAACAATTCCAATTACAATACCATCATCAAAGAGAATAAAATACTTAGAAATTTAACAAAAGAAATTAAAACTTATACTCTGAAAAGCACAAAACAATGATGAAAGAAATTTTAAAAGCTCTGAATAAATGGAAATAAATCCCATGATCACAATTAGAAGGTCAGTATGATTAAGATAACTATACCCTCCAAACTGATCTACAGATTCAATGCAATCTCTATCAAAATCCTAGCTGAATCCTTTGTAGAAATTAAAAGGTGATCCTAAAATTGACATGGAAACTCAAGGGGCCCAGAATAACCAAAGAACAAAGTTGGAGGACACACGCTTCCCAATTTCAAAACTCACTACAAAGCAAAAAGTTTTTAATCAAGATAATGTGGCACCGACAGAAGGATAGACCTACAGATCAATGGAATAAAAATTCAATGGGGTCTTTTCAACAAATTGTGCTGGGAAAACTGGATAGCCACGTGCAAAAGAATGAGGCTGGACCCTTTTGCCACACAATATACAAAAATTAACTGAAAATTAATCAACAACCTAAGTGTAAGAGCTAAAATTACAAAATTCTTAGAAGAAAACATAGGAGCAGGGCGCCTGGGTGGCTTAGTCATTAAGGGTCTGCCTTTGGCCTGGGTCATGATTCCAGGGTCCTGGGATCAAGCCCCACATTGGGCTCCCTGCTGAGTGGGGAGTCTGCTTCTCCCTCTGCCTCTCCCCCTGCTCATGCTCTATCTGTGTCTCCAATGAACAAATAAAAAATCTTTAAAAGGGGCGCCTGGGTGGCTTAGTCATTAAGGGTCTGCCTTTGGCCTGGGTCATGATTCCAGGGTCCTGGGATCAAGCCCCACATTGGGCTCCCTGCTTAGCGGGAAGCCTGCTTCTCCCTCTCCCATTCCCCCTGCTTGTGTTCCCTCTCTCGCTGTCAAATAAATAAATAAAAATCTTAAAAAAAAAAAAAAAAAAGGGCAAAAAAAAAAAAGAAAACATAGGGGTAAGACTTTGTGACATTGCATTTGGCAATGGATTCTTATATAGGACACCCAAAGCATAAGCAACAACAACAAAAAGCCAATAAATTAGACTTCACCAAAATTAAAAACTTTTGTGCTTCGATGGATACTATCAAGTAAGCAAAAAGACAACCTCACAGAATAGGAGAAATATTTGCAAATCCTATATCTGATAAGGGACTTGTATCTAGAATAAAGAATTCTTACAACTCAACAATAAAAAGATAATTTTTTAAAGATTTTTTATTTTAGAGAGTGAATGTGTACATGAGTGGGGCTAGGGGCAGAGGGAGAGAGAGAGAAGCAGACTCCATGCTGAGCAGGGAGCCCAACACGGGGCTGGATCCCAGGACCCCAAGATCAAGACCTGAGCCAAAACCAAGAATTGGAGGATTACCAACTGAGGCACCCAGATGCCCCAATAAAAAGATAATTTAAAAATGAGCAAAGGATTTGAATAGACATTTTTCCAAAGAATATATACAAATATATAAGCACATGCAAAGATGTTCAATATCATTAGTCATTGGGAAATGTCAATCAAAACCACACTGAGAAACACCTTCCACCCACAAGAATAACTATAACCAAACAGAAATAAGAGCCAGTGCTGGTGAGAATGTGGAGAAATTGGAGCCCTCACACACCGCTAATGAGAATAAAAAATGGTGCACCTACTGTGGAAATAAGTTTGGCAGTTCCTCAAAAAGTTTACCATAGAGCTACCATTTGACCCAGCAATTCCACTCCGAGGTATATAACCCAAGAGAAGTGAAAACATATGTCCACAAAAAAAAAAAAAAAATCACACACCAACGTTCACAGCAGTAATATTCATAACATCCAAAAAGTAGAAACAACCTAAACGTCCCTCAACTCATGAACAAACAAATTATGGCATACCCACACAGTGGAACAGTATTCAGCCATAAAAAAGAACGATGTATATATTCATGCTACATACAACATGGATAAACCTTGAAAACATTATGCTAAGTGCGAGAAGCC